TCCTTCTTCCAACTCACCATCCTCCCTGAAAAGGTGGAGTAGCAAATCAACAACTGGAAGTAGCAGGAAAAAGAGCAAAGCTAGGCTTCAAAACTGAGAATCACATCAATTATAAAATATTTCCATTTTTTCTGAAAATCCCTCTGGGCAATTCAATAACAAAAAAAAAAAAAAAAAAGGGGGGGGGGGGAGAAAAAAGAAACTTGTTAGCTAGAGCAGATCCCTGTAATATTTACCCGAGAATAGAAACCTACCTACAGACATAGATGGTTTATCAATTGCACTATTATTTACATATTTTGGTTCGATAAGCTGCGATTGACTAATTCCGTCGATTTTGGCAAGCGATAAATCAGTGAGAGTCTACTAGATATAAAGCAGTACAGTACAATCCAAAAACAATTGATTTTTTCTATTATGCAAAACATATCTGTGGCTGAAAACGCCAAATTTTCACTTACTAAATGCTTTGCTACCCAAACAGAAAGTAAAATTGGCTTCATAATCAACCTTCAGCGGTCAATTACCAAAGATTTAATGAAATCATTTACTGCACACAAATGCATAACACTGAAATAGTTTTGATCTGTATCTTCCAATGTAAAATTTGTCACTAGGAAGCAATTCCATTTCAAATCCAAAATCAGAAACCTGCATCTTTCTTATTCCCATGACTGACACTGGAAGAAAGAAAGCCAGAAGTTTGGTGAAGTTGGTCTAAGGGACCAAAAAATAATCCTAGACCTACAGAATGATTTGAATACATTGGCAAGGATTTTTTTTACTGGCTATTTTTTAATGGCAGTGAGACTGGACCTGCCTTAGTTGGAGAAAAAATGAGAAATCATTTCACTTCAGCTACCAGAAATTCCATCCTGGGGTTCTGGATGAAAACATCATTCATTTTGCAATCTGGAAGATGAACCTCCCGGCCTAAGAAGTCTGGGCAGTATGTAAATTCATCTCACATTCACACTCCGCTGCAACAGTTTCTAGCTTCTTCATTTATGATTAAAGTTGTCTGGATTTATTTCCAAAAGTTAACCTAAAATTCTCTGGCATTTTCACATCAGACTCCTACTTGAGCTCATCTTTGGGAATATAGACATATAATGTGCCCTATTCTGATGCAGCAAGGGATTAAAACAGGGAGTAAGCTTCACAGCCAGCAGCTTTTCATGTTCAACAGAGGACAGCAGCACTTTTTAAAAGCCTTCTGTTTTGCCCCACTGTATTTCCCACAGCAGAACATCAGACTTCTCTTCTCCAAAAGCAGAACTACAAGACTGACTTTTTAATCCTCAGGTGATTTTGTGAGCTAAAACTCCAGACCTGGATGCTGTAAAATGTGGCATCATCCAATTTCTACTTTATTTCTACCACAGAGCCTCTCTCTGAAGGCCAGGAGCCCAAAGGCCCTAAGACCGCAAGCATCTTCATAGCAGGCGCTCTTCACCCCATCGCTCACTCAGATGGTCCACAGGGTTCACTTGAGGATACGGTAAGACTCAATTGCTGAACAACAGATTCGAGAGTGGATTAGAGGAGGTTGATCGCGATAGCTGTATTATGCTTCCGCCTTCAGATGTAAGAAGAAAGAAGCTCCTATACATAACTGCTGACTAGGAGAATTTAGTGCTGGATTTCCAAGGCCTTTCTTTGGTCCACAGGGTCTTACTATAATAATGATATATTAGATTTATAATACTGTCAAATCAAAAGGCAGCATATAGTCATCCTAATAATACACAACCAAATAGCACACTGTGAAAATAAACAAAGAATTCCAACTGGCCAGCCAATCAGCCATCAATCAATCAATAGGAATCACAAAACATTCAGGCCTGTCTGAAAACTCAAGTTTGTTAAAGCTTTTCTTTAAAAGCCAAGGTAACTATCAATCATCAATCAATAACCCTAGCTCATTTGGCAGGGAAAAAAAGTGTAAGACAGCCAAATTAACCCCACGTATGATCAGTGTATGAAATTCAGTGGTGCACAAAAAAGGAGTAACACTGAAACTTACAAATAAAATGCAATTACTGTAATAGTTCACATTTAAACTCATTAAAAACAATGGGACATCAGCTACATACGATGATTAAGGCCCAGTTCTTTGAATGTAGTTACTTAAATTATAATTAAGTCTGGATACAAGCCAACATCTGTTCAGTTATGGAGTTAGGAGAGCTTAGATAAATAATATTTATTTTAATCAATTACCAGATAATTAGGGGAGCTTAAACCCCTGGACATTTATAAGGCAAAGGGAAAATGAATAGATTGGGATCATGGTGATGATGATCACCATCATCATTTATATGCCACTCAATTCCCAGTGACACACAATTGACATACAATGAGAAAAAAAATGGGGAACACCTGTTGTGGACAGACAGAGCATTTGACTGAGCTATAAATAAAAAGTAATCACTAATGAGATTTATCAGCAAACAGGTAGTATCTGCAGAAGTACGGTAAGGAATGCAAAAATATAAAAGAATGTGATCCTTCAAGAGAAATTAAAAGCAACATGAAAGGATTTTTGTAGTGTTGTCTATAGAAAATGGAAGGTGGGCAACCTGCTGGAAAAGATGAGTTGGCCCTTCAGGGAAGGCCAGACTAGAAAACTGATGCCACGCAGGTCAGTACGAGTTCGAATCTTTCATGTCTAAATGTGCTTCCTCCCTCCCTCCATCTTCATGTAACCTGAGGAGGAGGAGAGCTTGTCTGTTAGGTGTCATGTTATATTCTTGGGCTGGGCTCAGGACTCCTTTATCCGAGTATCCCCTTGGTGGCAGCTCTTCCTCCTGTCCCTCAAGGTCATTCCCTCTTCCTCCTCCCTTTACAAAGGACAGGGAGTGGGCAAATCCCATCCAATCCACTTGAATTCCGTGGATTCTTCTCTAACTCCAAATGCACTGTCAGTTGAGAAGATTCCTGTTAATAAGCTGTTTAGATTAATTGGACCTTCACGTATAAAACTGGCCTTTCGTGCCTGACACCTGCACAATCACAAAAGCCATTAGATATGGCATATGGATTTCTCAAGCATCCCTGGCAGCTGACCGCCTAACCCTTGCTATTATGCATCTAATATGAATGGCTTCACAATCATTCTGAAGCAGAATTAGTTAACCACAATTTATTGGCAACAGCAACAGACAATGCAATAAATTAGCTTACAAACAATGGATTTGAATAACATACAAAGCACAACAAACTACCGTATTTTTCAGAGTATAAGACACTCTGGACTATAAGACATACCTACCTTTTTTGGTGAGGAAAACAAGAAAAAGTAATCTTGCCTCTGCCTCCCAGCAATTTTGCTTTGTTGCAGCAAACAGCAAATTAGGCTGTGCTGAAGCTGAAACAAGCTGTTTCTTCTTGCTGCGAGGAGGTAAACTGCTGTGAGGCAGAGGCCAAAGGGTGGGCGGGGCTACATTTATACATTTGGTGTATAAGATGCACCTAAATTTTCACCCCCTTTTTGGGGGGAGGGGGAAGGTGTGTCTTATACTCTGAAAAATACGGTAGGCTTTGGCTTAGCATGATGAGTGAGCCTAATCAATTTTTTAAATAAAATCTGGTGATAAACCATTTTCTTTTTAAGTCTAGTTTCCAGTATTCTAAAATAGGAAAGTCCCAATTTCAGAAACTAAAGAAATGCCAAATACAGAAGCCGATATCTTTTATACTACAAGCCAGCAAATTTGCAGGAAGCTACTGGTACTATCTGAATACAAATCAAATTAAGACATTTCTTCCTGCGATTATTGACAAGTTGGTTTTATCAATATCAAAATGAAAAAAGGAAGCAAAACTTAGGTAAGCTCTCTCCGGTCTTGAGGTATGTTTGTGCCTCACTCCAGCTTAGCTCTTTCCCTTTACTTGTTTTGTCTCTTTGGGGCCCTTAAATTTCCCCCCAAAGAGCTTGTCAAATGCGGCTAGAACTCCGTTCTCAACCTGACTTCTTTATCTCTATATTTTCTGCTGCTAAGCCTAACGTGAGTCTTTCATCTCAAACTGAGAAAGGATCAAAGCAAGAAATTAACTCCAGAATTAACAGACCACAACAAGCAGCGAAACTGTGCACTTATGATTTCATGGCCAAAGCAGAATTAGATCAGGTGATACAATTTTACCAGGTTGAATTGTTCAGTTTTTGAAAAGAACAGAACCCCTTTCCAGCAAATGAATGTTTTGGCAAGACAGCAGAGAAAAGATGACTGGAGTCTCAAGGCTGTTAGGCCTAGTTTCTGCTGCACATTTTCGGGTTGAAGAGCAGCCTGCCTAAGCGTGCCTTTTTTCTCCCTTCCATTCCATCTTGTCTGATTTTTGGAGATTATCAGGAAAGTCTCTGCATTTTTCTGGGCAAGATTTTACAGAAGCAGTTTGCCATTGCCTCCTTCCTAAGGCTGAAAGCAAGGTCACCCAGCTGGCTTTGTGCCCATGGCAGGACTGGAACTCACGGTCTCACCATGAGACCAAACTGGCCCTCAAATGCATGCCTACTCAGATATTCTGCATTCACTGGGGACTGCTCCCAAATATGGGACTTGTCAAGTGCTGGGTCTTAAGACTACAATGTCAAAGCAAAAATAAGCCGAGAAGAACTAACACATGTTGGCTTACAGCTGTGCAGCAAGCTACTAACTACAACTCTGAGTAAAATTATTATTACTGAAAAGTGTACGATTCTGCCACTTCCAACTTGCCAAACGTTTTCACTCTGGCTACAGAGCAAAGCAACATGGTTGCCATGAAGCTATGGTGTTTTCACAGGGTAAAGCTGATATTAGAGGAATTGCTAGTCTTGTGGCTAGCCCACCATGGGACTACATTTGCCTACCTGTGCAGAATGTTCTTCAGCCTCACAGTCAACCTGTGTGAGCTCACAGATCACATGACTGGAGCCAGCCAGCAGCCCAGCATGGGATTCTCCTCCTGGCTCTGGTCCAGACATTTCCCCCCTCTCCTGTCACTAATTCAGGCAGTTTTAACACTGGCTGCACCACATATTGCAGAATTCAGGGCAAGGATTAGCGTCTGGTTGTTGGAGGACCAATGAAGCCTTGGCAGAAGCTCAAAGGAGAAAGAGAAGGGGGGATAACCGAACGTGCAGGGAAGCTGTACGGTCCAGGCACCAAGATGAGAGCTGGAAAAGGGTAGGAAGGACTCAACAATCACAAAGCTTAAACAGAACATAATGCAGAGCTGAAGGGGTAATGAAAAGGACGAGCAGAGAGGAGTGATGTCACTGGTACTATGATTATTATATGATTGATTCTATCGTTTGAATGCAAGTGCACCGAGTGCTTTTGTGCTGGAGACAAATTCCTTGTGTCTCTAATCACACTTGGCCAAAGGTATTCGTATTCCTAAAAAAATACCACAGACTAGAATCTCTGACAGAACTTCATGCTCTGGCTTAGTTCCAATAGGAAAAATAAATGGAAGACTCAATAAGTTATTTCATGTTAGTACCAAAAGTACATACTTTAGGTGGTTTATTCTACCTTTGTGCTGAAAACTAGACAGAAATAACTTTTCAAATCCTGTTTTCTTTTAAAGCTGGTTGTCTCTGCAGCCGCCTAGTGGCTCTGAAGAAGAAAGCTGTGGAAACCCTCCCCAGACAAGCCTCATTCGCGGATCTTCTGGCAGGATTGCCTTGCCACAAAATGGAGGCGGTGCTTCTTTCAAAGTGCCCAGGAGGATCCAAGAAGTGCCAGCTCAAGCCAGGGGAGGCTGCTGAGCCGCACTTTCAAAGCCACCTTTGGTTATACACCAGACCCCCAAGGCTCTGGGGCCAGCAACATTAACAGTGGGATTTCTTCATAAAGGAAGATGAGAGCAATACAGCTACAGCACCAGAATTCCTAGCCTGCTTTGAACTGAACCACAAAACTAGGGCAGACCATAATTGCAGCTACACAAAAAGCAACATTCACAACCGGTAACATTTTAAGAACATTATTGTGAATGGACAAAGTAGATTTTTACCTGCTGTTCTAAAAGTGCACTTCACTCAATAGGTAAAAGCATACGAAAGGCTGCTTCTACCAAAAAGTAGACAAAGCACAATTCTACCTAACTGCTCAGCCTGACTATATTCTGCTGATTTCTGCCAATTCGCCTAATCAATTCTACATCCCAGCAGAGCTTCAAGAGACTAACTTGACTTTGGATGTTCACTTCCATGGTGGAGCCAGGAGCACCGTTGTCTTCGATGGGAGAATTTCAAAGGCAGGGTCACATACTATGACACTGGGATGGCTAGTTTTGCTTTGTTTTCCTTAAAATCAAGGCCATCCCTGCCTCCAAGACCAAATATGGAATACAGTTCACTTGCCCCTTTATAGCTCTCCGCTGCAGCTGTTGCCTCCCGGAGAACCGCTGCAATTATGGAAGCCATTCAATGCCAAGCGACCTCTGGGCCTGCCTGGACAATGCCTGAGTGAAGAGGCCAGAAAACTAAAGGTGCTGCATTCCTATAGAATTCTGCTGACTCACAAGATTCACCAGTGAGCCAATTCTTCCAAGAGGGCACGTGCCAAATTCAACAGGGTTCTCTTAGAGCAGACGACCAGTGTGAAGTCAGGAGATGCCACTTCAAAACAGCAGCAGAGTGGGAATCTGCCAGCTGGCCCAGCTGACCCCTAACCCTGGAATCTCCCAATTCTGATTTTCCCCACTTTTTTTCTGCAAAACTATCTAGGGCAAAACAAAGCAGCTTTGTGGACCATCGACCATTGTCACTAGCATATTTGGAGTGTATACCAAACTACTGGGCAAAGGATCAGAATTTACAGTGTAAAACAATATATGAATTTTTGGTATGCTATTCTCTGTGTATTCCTATGTGAGCCCCATTTTATAACCACTATCAAGAAAAAGATTCTGATGGGCTCCAGAAGCTCTGGCCTATCTACCTAAGGTTTAGAAATATCAAGGAAGTATTTTAAGTGGTAAGAGAAAGCTCCATCAACACATACTCTTAATGATTAATTTAAAATGATAAATCTGGAGCGGCAATATCCACTGAAAGCAAGTCAAATGGCAGTTTTCGGTCGCTCTTCCCTGCCTCGCTCTCCTGCGGACCCAAGCTTCCTACGAAATAATGGGCAAAAGTCAACTGGGTTATGGAAATTTCTAAAAGGTCGGTTGAAGCGGAAGTAAAATGGCTAAATGTTTCATATATATTATAGTGAGCTGTTACAAACATTGAAATGTGTCCTTTGAGAAAATGTGTATTTGTTGCTTCATAAAATAAAGTATGCAAGTGAAATCTACTTAGTCCCCAGCTACAAACATCAGTCAAGATAACTACTCCTGGTTTGGCCATCAGGTTTTAGCACCAGAAAGGACATTTTATGCTTGCCAAGAATTCCTGATTGACCCTACAGTGTGAATTCAATGACAACCACATTAAAGAGGCAGAAATTACAAAGAACTATACAGGTATTGGCTTAATGGTGCATTAGTACTGTATGTTAACTTTTTAAAATGCCCAACATATTTCCTTGTTTTGTAAATCTGGGTTTTCTAGTACATGAGTACAACACTAACTTGGTAGGCAAGTAAAGAGGAACAAATAAGGCAACATTATTTTAGATGAACAAAAGAGTGGTTTCCTCCCCACTCAGAAAAAAAGAAAATAGTGTGCCAGGGAACAGGGTTATGCCCTTGGTTTACAAGAAAAACTACCAGACTGGGGGCCGGTTTTGGAGCGGACGGGGCTCGGGGCTAACCTAATGGGCAGGACCCGGCTTCCTTGATCTCGTGTGGGGAAAAGCGTGGACTGTTCACGGTGTGTGGTTAACAACGGGCCACAACAGGGGCGCTCGGGTGCTTGTACTGTACACGGCCACGCTCGCCTCGGTCGCGCGGGGGGGGCGAGGGAGGGGGCGAGGGAGCGTGTGGTGACTTGGGGGACTCTTGTGATTGTCGCACTTCGCGGCTGCTTACAGTTTTCCTTCGAGCTCAGCCGAACCACGGATCGGAGGCGGACTCGGCCCACCGGGGGCTCCCGGACGCATCGCAGCGGGCTCGGGCTTTTTCACCCGACCGAAGCGAACGCCGGCTCCGGCGGGGTCGTCCCCGGAGAGGAACCCCTGGGTCGGCGCGGCGGGAGAGGAAACGGGGCGCGGCTGCTGCCACTTACCGCCGGCCGGGCCGGCCCTCCTCGCCCCGGCGCTGATGGGGGCTCCCTCCCCGTCCCCCCGCGAGGCCCCCGTCCCCCCGCCCCCCCCCGCGAGACCCAGAGGAGAGAGAGAGAGAGAGAGAGAGAGAGAAAAGAGAGGCGGGTACTGGACCTTTCGTCCGGGCCGGGCCCGTGGAGGAGGAGGTGTTGTTGGAGCGGCCGGGCGCCAGCGCCGCCGAGGCCCGGGCTGCCGAAGGGGCCGTGCAGGAGCAGGGGGTTGGCGGCGGCGGCCGGAGAGGGGGCCGGGGGGCTGGCGTGGGGGCTGCTGGGCGGAGGCACGCTGGGGCTCTCCACCGCCATGGGGGGGCCGGGCCGGGGGGGGCGGGCGCGACGGGGGCACGGGGCACAGTCACTGTACGGGCGGGCCTGGCGCCGCGCTCGGTCGCTCGCTCGTGGGCTCGCTGGCCGGCAGGCAGGCAGGCAGGCAGGCAGGCGGCGGCGGCGGCGGCGGTAGGGACGGCAGGCTGGCTCCGAGGCTGCACCACACAAAATGGCGCCGGCCCGCCTTAGAGGAGAGAGCGAGCGAGAGAGAGAGAGAGCGACGCCCGAGCCAGCCAGCCAGCCAGGCGCGGCGCGCGCGGCCACACCCGACCCGACCCGAGGCGGCGAGCGCGGGGGCAGGGCCGACGGCGGAAACGCCCGAGCGGCGCCGGAAACTGCCGGCCGCGCCCGAGCGGCCGCACCGCCCCCGAAGGCGGGGCGCGGCATGGCTCTTCGGCCGGCCCCGCCCCCTCGCCGCCATTCGAAGAAGCCGGCCGGGCGCGAAGGGAGGAAGGCGGGGGAGGGGCGGCTGCGCGGGCGCCATGGTGGAGGAGAAGGGGCGCCCCGGCGGCGGGATCAGCGAGGAGGAGGCGGCGCAGTACGACCGGCAGATCCGCCTCTGGGGGCTGGAGGCGCAGAAGCGGTAGCGCGGGGCCCAGTGGGGGGGCCAAGGCGGGGGGGGGGGGGGGGCGGGGGCCCCCCGGGCGCGCGTCTCTCCCCCCCCCCCCCCCCCGCAGGCTGCGCGGCTCTCGGGCGCTGGTGGCCGGGCTGCGCGGACTGGGCGCGGAGGTGGCCAAGAACCTGGCGCTGGCCGGCGTGAAGGCGCTGACGCTGCTCGACCACCGCCAGGTGGGTCCGAAGGGCCGGCGGGAGAAGCGGGGTGGGCAGAGAGGGCCAAAGGCCGGGCCGCGCCGCGCGTTGGGATCCGAGCAGCGCGAGGAGGCTTCGGCGGCTGTGAAGGTGGAAGGGAAGCGCAGGCGAAGGGAGCCTGGCAGGCGCTGAGGCTTCTCCCCTCGGAAGGGAGCGGTGGGAGGGGAAAGGTGCCCGGTGCCCGCTGCTCCGACCCGCCCGCTCCTCCTCCTCCTCCTCCTCCTAGGTGTCCCTGGAAGACGCCCGAGGCCAGTTCCTGCTTCCAGCCAGCTCCCCGGGAAAGAACAGAGCGGAGGCGTCCCTGGAGCGCGTTCAGGACCTCAATCCCATGGTTGAGGTGAAAGCGGACCACGAGAATATTGAGCAGAAACCGGAGGAATTCTTTACTGGTTTTGATGTGGTGAGTTCCCGCAGACCTGTGCCATTTGACCCAGGAGGGTTCTCTCTCTCTCCGTCCACCGATTCCACAAGCCTCGGTGTGGAGTGCTGGAGCTGAGCAGAGGTTTGGTGAGCAAGCTATGGCTTTCTCTGAGGCTTGAGAACCGTCTGGGAAGGCCCTTGGAAATTATCTTCTGTTCAAGGGAAGAGAAAACAGTTACCCGTATTTTTCGGTGTATAAGACACACCTTTTTACCCCCAAAAAGGAGGTGAAAATCTGGGTGTGTCTTATACGCCGAATGTAGCCCTGCCCACCCGCCAGCCCCCACCCTTCGGCCATTTTTGGCCAGTTCCAGGTGGCACGGATCTGGGTCGGGGCACATCCTGAGGAACAACTCTCCCTCTTCGGGACAGTCGGGGGGGGGGGAATCTGCCCAGCAGCTTCAGGGAACAAGGTGGGTGCCATTATTTGCAGCTGGTCACCCCTCTGGCCGCACTGACTTCACTCCCCAGCAATGTGAGGAGTCGCTGCCGCTGCCTAAGCCCTCTCTGCGCCCAGGAGCCAAGCCGAGCTGAATGGGAGCCCCTAAAGGGAAACGCCTGAACCCGCAATCCCCTTCCCGATTTCAAACATAGGGTGTGCAGAGACAAAAAAAAGTGCACAGGCAGCGGATCTGGCCAGGAGGAAGGAGAAGTTGAGTCTGCTGAGAAGGAGGACGGGGGCGCGCAGCTCTGCAATGTGCAGAAAAACACTTTCAGGGGGCAGTGCTACAATCTCCTCTCCGAATCCAAAGCACTTCCCAATTCCCCACTGCACATTGCAGGGGAACTGGCCGCCACCTGAAGCATGACTCTTGAGAATTGCATTGGGGAATCTGGGCAGCGATGCCTGGAAAGGAGGGGGTCTGGGGGGGGGGCAGATCCGCCCCCCCCCAGACCATCCCAAAGAGGTTTGTTCCTCAGGCTGTGCTCTGTCCCTCCCCCCAGACCATGCGAGGGGTCTCTTTGGGGGAAAGCGAGTAGTCCCTGTGCCTCTCGCTTGCAGGAGGAGGAGGAGGGCGGCCCCACCTTAAATGCTGGTAGGCAGAGGTAAAATACTTTTTTCCTTGTTTATCTCCCCCAAAATTAAGTTGCGTCTTATACACCGAAAAATATGGTACCCTGGCTTGGGCCAGGGTTAAGATCTTGTTTTGGTCACTTGCACAGAGACAAAGTCTTCCCTGGTGTCTTTTGTCTTCCAGGTCTGCCTGACATGCTGCACTCAGGAAGTCCTCCTGAAGGTGGACCAAATATGCAAGAAACACGGCATCAAGTTTTTCACTGGTGATGTCTTTGGCTATCATGGCTACATGTTTGCCAACCTGGGTGAACATGAATTTGTTGAGTGAGTTTCTCTTGGCTTGGAATCTGAGGCTGACACCTGTATCTGAAGTCTTTGGGGCTTAATGAGACAACTTGTTCAATATCCTTGGGATGTGTGTGTGTTATGGGTAGACAAGAAGGCTGCCATTTGGAAGACAAGAAGGCTGCCATTCTGTAGGTCAGTTACTGGCTGAAATGGGTAGAAACTAATATATTAAACTCCTTGGCCTCTCCCTCACCCTGCTTTACAGAGAAAAGACAAAAGCTACCAAAGCCAGCCAGGAAGGGCAGGGGGGCTCTGATGCAAAGAAAGCCAAGCTGGATATTGCAGAGACAACCCTGGTGAAGAAGGTGGGTGAAGTCTGTGTCTGTGGAGCATAGAAGATGGGAAGGTAGGCCTGTGCCAGGAAATCTTGACTCCACCATTTAGCTGCTTCTTTCAGAGCCTGTTTTACTTCTGTTTGTGGTGTAGGAGGTTCTATGCATTTCATAGCCAAGCTATAAATGGACTCCCTGCAGCTGAGAGTCCCTTCAGGCAAGCTAACCTTGTCCTGCAGATTTTCACTGTTTGCTTGGCCTCCCATGTCACAATTATTTTTGGCCTTTCGGGGACCTGAGAAGGTCAACTAGTCTAATCCCTGCACGATCTACTAAAGCGTCTTTGACAGACCCAGCCAAGCTTATTTGAAAGCCTGCTGCAAAGGAGAACTTTCCACTTCATGGGGAAACTTGTTGCACACTGTTCAGTTCATTCCTCAGTTGGTCATGGCTTGCCATTCTAGGAAGGTTGACCTATCAGTCAAACCTGTAATGACATCAAGGAGTGCCTGGACTTAAGGGTTGAAATAGAAAGTGCAAAAATGCACTTGAATGCATTTATTAGTTGAGAACCATGGTTTATGCATTTGGGCTTCTGTGCCAATGTGAACTTGGATCGACATAGACATAGAATAGTAGAGAATAGAATGGAATAGTAGAGAAGAATGGGATTGCAAAGTGAATACCCCAGTTAACCTCTAAAAAATTACAGATGGCAGTCTCTGTGACCCCCTCAAAAGAGTTTGAAGACATACAACCAATGAGGGGCTACAACCCTGGTGGCTTCTGAAGTTTCTCTAGTTGAAGCCCCCAAATTTCTGGCCTCAATTTTTTCAAAAAACAATATGTCATCACACTGATAGGATTTTAGAAAACCAGTTTCTGTTTAATGGTAGAATG